CCCCCCCCCCCCAGTAACCCTCAGTTTGTTCTCCATATTTGTGAGTCTCTTCTGTTTTGTCCCCCTCCCTGCTTTTATATTACTTTTGCTTCCCTTCCCTTATGTTCATCTGTTCTGTGTCTCAAAGTCCTCATATGAGTGAAGTCATATGATATTTGTCTTTCTCTGACTGACTCATTTCACTTAGCATAATACCCTCCAGTTCCATCCGCATAGTTGCCAATGGCAAGATTTCATTCTTTTTGATTGCCGAGTAATACTCCATTGTATATATCCCACATCTTCTTTATCCATTCATCCATCGATGGACATTTGGGCTCTTTCCATACTTTGGCTACTGTTGATCGTGCTGCTATAAACATGGGGGTGCATGTGTCCCTTCGAAACAGCACCCCTGTATCTTGTGGATAAATGCCTAGTAGTGCAATTGCTGGACCGTAGGGTGGTTCTATTTTTAATTTTTTGAGGAACCTCCATACTGTTTTCCAGAGCGGCTGCACCAGTTTGCATTCCCACCAACACCACAAAAGAGATCCTCTTTCTCTGCATCCTCGCCAACATCTGTTGTTGCCTCAGTTGTTAATGAGCCATTCTGAGAAGTGTGAGGTGGTATCTCATGGTGGTTTTGATTTGTATTTCCCCGATGATGAGTGATGTGGAGCATTTTTTCATGTGTCGGTTGGCCATCTGGATGTCTTCTTTGGAGAAGTGTCTATTCATGTCTTTTGCCCATTTCTTCACTGGATTATTTGTTTTTTGACTCTTGAGTTTGATAAGTTCTTTATGTATTTTGGAAACTAACCCTTTATCTGATATGTCGTTTGCAAATATCTGTTTTCTTTTTAAACAATGAATGGTATCATTGAAGTTTTATCTATTTGTGTTTTTTTAAGTTTATTTATTTATTTTGAGAGAGAGAAAGTGCGCGAGCTGGGGAGAGGGACAGAGAGAGAGAGAGAGAGAGAGAGAGAGAGAATCTTAAGAAGGCTCCATGCTCAGTGCAGAGCCCAATGTGGGGCTCGATCCCACAACCCCGGGATCATGACCTGAACCAACATCAAGATTCGGATGCTTAATTAACTGAGCCACCCGGGTGCCCCTATTTGTTTTTATTTTTGGAGAGTCAACTTTTGGTTTGTTGATACTCAGAATTGATTCTAATTAATTTTTATTATTTTTTCATTCTCTTCTTCCCATTTTCTTTGGGTTTACTTTGATATTCTTCCTCTGATTTGTTGAATAGAAATCTAGCTCATTAATGTGCATTTACGGGCCTCTACCCCCCCCCCCCCATAGGGACTTAGCTGCACCCACCAGGATAAGGAGGCAGGTTTTCATTGTTGTTCAGTTGTAATATTTTCTCATTGACATTATGATTTCCTTTTTTTTTTAATGTTTATTTTTGAGTGAGAGAGAGAGAGAGACAGACCGCGAGTGGGGGAGGGGCAGAGGGAGAGGGAGACACAGAATCCGAAGCAGGCTCCAGGTTCCGAGCTGTCAGCACAGAGCCTGATGCGGGGCTCAAACCCATGAACTGTGAGATCATGACCTGAGCCAAAGCTGGATGCTTAACCAACTGAGCCACCCAGGTGCCCCTATGATTTCCTTTTTAACTCGTGAATTATTTAGAGGTTTCTCTTCACATTGCCAAGCATACAGGAGGTTTGGGGATTTTTTATACAGTGTTCCATATAAACAATAAAATTCGAAACCCAAGGACAAAGTGAACAATGTGTCCTAGCAAAACTCAGGGATCCATTTCTGTTCTCATTTGCACCAAGGAAAATGTTTTAAACGTGTGCAGCAGGTGCATTTCAACATGCCTTCTACTCTGCGGGGTGGCGGTAACTGAAGCGTCAATGCCTGGGCCCTACGAAGACCTTTAACTGGCCCCGCAGAGATCGACATGGTCTAAGGTGGACACGAGGTGCTGGGGGGACAGAAAAGATGCCTCCTGGTTCCAAGGAACCTGGAGACCACGGGGACCAGGAAGGAAGCACGCAAGTTCATCATCCGTCACATATTCAGCCACTGAAAACCTTTCTCCCACGTCCAGTCTGCTCTCTTCGAAAGGATGCCTGAAGTTACTGATCTTCGGGCGTGGTCAGAAATACTTCCGAGGACACACAAAGACAATGGCAGTCAAACAGGGACTTTCCCATCCACAGGGTTGAGGATGACATTAGGCATAGGCCGTGACATGGAGTAGCCCAGCAGCCAAACGCTCAGGAGGGCCAGTGTGTGGTTTGGGACCTGCCTCTGTTGGGGGTTCCGGCCCAAAGAGCCTCAGATGGCCTCTGCCCCCGTCCCCCGCTCCCTCCCCAGGCTCTCCCAGGACTCCCAGGGCAGATTTGTGTTCTCCATTAGTGATGGGGCTGCCATCATCCCTCAGGGAACTGGGGTATTTCCAGCGAGGGATGCCCCTACTCCTTTTCCCAAGGGTATACTGTTCAGGGGGTAGGAAGAAATCCCCAGAGGCATTCACGCTTCATACCTTCTTAATTTTGGAGGCTTCCTTCACGGGGTTCCTAAAGCAGGTGGGAGCTGGGTGGGATGAGTGGAGGAAATGTCTTTATTTGGGCACTGAGTTTGCCTCAAGGCACTGAGGCAGGAGCATCATGCCCCCCATTTTGTAATTTCCTTTCTCAAGAAGTGATGAGTGAGGGTAATTGATTCCCTCCATCGCAGAGATCTCAATAACCTGTGAGACAACACGTCCCTCCTCATCAGCTCTTTATACCCACCCCCGAAGGGCTCAAAGCTTCTTCTTTGCTGTACACTTTAGTGAACATGAACCCAGTTTCTAGAGTTAGGCAGAGACGGGTTCCTTTCTGGACCCACCACTCACTAGTCTTGGGCACCTCGCGACATTTCCCCAAGCCTCGGCTTCCTCGTCGGTAAAATGGGAATGAAACTATTCATTCGCAAGGCTGCTGGGAAGGTTTAACAGGATAATAAGGTTATAAGGTGCCTTGTTTGGGGTGCCTGGGTGGCTCAGTTGGTTGAGCACCTGACTTGGGCTCAGGTCATGATCTCCTGGTTCTTGGGTTTGAGCCCCGCATCAGGCTCTGTGCTGATGGCTCGGAGTCTGGAGCCTGCTTTGGATCCTGTGCCCCCTCCTCTCTCTGCTCCTCCCCTGCTCGTGCTGTATCTCTCTCTCTCTCAAAAATAAAAATAAACATTCAAAAAGTGTTTATAGAGTGCCTTGTGCCACGAGCCCTCTAAGAAAAAGGGTCAGAATTAGACAAAGGGTCACGATGGCAGCCACACAGTTTGCTGGGATGGAGAAGCCACTAAAACCACAGAGTGCCCTGGGCTGCCCCTGCCTCGTCTCACTTTCCTCTTCTGTAACGTGATGCAAAGTGACCAGTGTGGGGCAGGAGTTTTCCCTAAATGCCAGAAATTCTGCACAGCTGGGAGCCAGGAGCCCCGCTCACGCTTGC